TACATATAAAATTTAGGTGCGTCAATCATTTGACACCATATTAAAAATGATCTGCACGACATCACGGCTGACTGATAATTTGTTAATAAACACAATACAATCAGTTTTGTGTCAAAATCTAACCATTTAAGCAAAAAAACATAAGGATCACGTGATAGACGATCGTCTCCGAACATAATCGGAGTAATCTCAAATGATGATTTGTAAAATGGAGTATCCCATATTAAAAGGGCCCTTTTTACATATATATCTCATTTTGAGATATTTGAGTTTAATCATTTGTTTTGATTTCCGGACTGATCCGGGATTAATCAAATTTTCACGATTTTGATTGGTTAAAGATAGCAAACAGGTGACTACTGTATCGGGTAATCTCGCGATATGCTTGGCCTTAGTAATTTTTCTTTTACATTATTTCTATTTTTCATTATGCAAATCGACTTTCATTTATAATTGAAAAATGTCAACCATGTAAAAATTACATGAATATAATAAAAACTCGGTTTGCGAAAATTTGTAAAAATGGGCTCTTTTAAAGCCGGAATTGATCGTCAATTGCGTAATCACAATTTTTTTTGCCATGACTAGCCCACTTTTTGTTTATTTATTAAAAACTACGGCAACGATGAATATGGTAATAATCAACTAAAGATATTCCTTGTCACTTGTATATAACTAAAATAAAACATGTATTTCTCTTGAATTTTATATTTCTTATTTATATAATTTACACATTATGCCGTAATATCGCTAAGGCCATTCAAAGTTGATTATTTGGGGTCTGTTCCTTGAAAATGACCTTACGGGACATAGTAAATCATATGGTCAAAACTTGATTTTCAAGGAACAGACCCCATTTGTTTAACGTCAACACGACACAGAATATTTGATCAAATCTCATTGGTCAACCTTAATCACATGATTATTGATTATCCTGCATTGTGATTGGCTTGCTTAATTTCTGGGGCAGCTAACCAAGAGGGGGGATGACGTTAAACAACTATTCAACTTTGAACGCCCTAAATTAATAATTACGCTATTATACATAAGCGATCAATTATTGCTTAATGATCGATCGATTATATTCAAGCCTATAAATTATATTCTTGATCGACCATACTACTTAGTCAAGTTTTTTTGATCGATTAAACAATATTTTGTTTAATCAATCATCTATCAATAATATTTTTTTTACTACTATTGACCCATCCCCAACTATTCATTTTAATCAAAATTGCTATAGGTAATGAAGATGACATTATCATATGAAAGTTTATTTCGAGTTATGTCACTTATTTTAATTTATGAATCATCTTTAATATTCCATAATATTATTGCGCTTTTCAATTACTGTGTCCACTGATTTTCATGGAATCAAAAATCTAGAAAAAATGTTAATACGTGATTGGCTAAAAATTTTTTTTAACCAATCAAAGATTTGCATTTATTCTAGATTTCTGATTTCCGGTGTGATATATGAAAATCAGTGAACACAGTAATTTGAAAAGCGCGATAATACACGGAGACAAAATGTCACAATTTTGCCGCAACGTTCGTTTCCAATTTAATTAGAGTCGCAAATATATTCTTTATTAAGGATCAAAAAGGGATATTATTTTTAGAATTAATAAAGTAATTTAATTATGCAACAAAGAGTTTGTCATTATATATGTTTGTCATTATCGGGTTCTTCATCAGTTACTGTATTAGATGTATTGGATTGTTGAAGTTTTTCTAAATATTGCACGTTTACTACATAATCTCTTAAAAACAATTGTAGCAAATCTAATCTTTTTTCAAGTTGTTCAGTTGAAATTTCATCTTCTTTCAAATCATTTGTATCATGAGTTAAATGATTAATGAATGGCATGGATTCAAAAGTAATTAACAATTTATCCTGTACAATTCGCCTAACTTTGAAAAGATGTCTTTGAACCAAGCCAAATGGTTTGATTGCGCTTGTACCTGGGATAAAATAGGATATTTTAATTTAGATTTAATTATATTAAAAATTATTTAAATTATTGATTATTCAAAATAAATAAATAAATTAATAAATATATATATACCAAAAAGTAATGCATAAAAACTTGTAATTAGTCCAAATAAACCTCCAAATAATCCAAGCGAATTTGATACCTAAAATTAAAAAAATTAAGGAATATATAAATATAGATATCTCAATGTAAAATATTTGAATAATACTACATAGTGACTAATAGTTACTATTACACGTAAATTTAATAATAACCATAGAGTCATTATGCAATTACTGTATATTAAAGATTCGAGATTTGTAATATGATGTAGACTATATTTTATAAAAAAGTCCTTACAGTTTTAAGCCTTTATAATTAATAGAATAAATAAAAAATAAACAATATTAATTGCATATAATAATATCATAGCAAAAACAATAAAAATAAAGCTTAAATCATTTTTATTGTTACCTTTGATCTTTATCTACTTGAACTATAAATGATTTTGGTTCGATGTTTATTGTGGAAAATAATGATCGAGATTCCGTAGCATTCGAAATAAGAGAAGATTCTATAAAAATTAATATTATGTAAATTAATATTGTCTAATTGTCTTTTTAAAAAGCATTTTGTAAAATAATACCAATCGTAGAAGTAATATATGGTATTCTTTCGAGATCTGCAGCAAATCCGAAATAATTTTTCCAGCTCCGCGACATAAGATGTTTTATATTTCTTGTTATTTGAATGTTATAAGCCTGTCAAGCAAAATAAGAAATTAACACTAATATTACTATAATGATACATATACATATAATATTTTGAAATAAAAAGCTTGCCTGATTTGGCGATAATTCATATGTGTTTATTTTAACTATTGAATTCAAAAATATTGAATTTTGATTTTCAAATAATTTAGGACCATAAATATTATAAAGCTCTATAATTAGACTTAAATTAGTTTGTTATAGATTTTATTTAACGAGCAAAAAAAAAAAATTAACCTGAATCAATAGCGCGAATATCTATAGACATTGATGGATCACTTGCATTATATGTGACATCATCAATATAAATCATAATCCCAATGTTCTTCAGGCCTTCATTAGAACTTGTTGAAAAGAACAAATCACCATTAGTTTTAAAATAACCATCATACTTTGAGGTGGTGTTCAATACGGGCTGTCCTATGTATTGGGCACATGCTTTATTATCTTCGCGTGCACTATTAGCTTGTTTATTTAACAAAGATTTTAATTGTACAATTTAAAATCATAGCGGTATATAATACTCAAATAATTATACATACCGGCATATGTGAAATAACAATTTAAATAGGATTTTTTTGGAATATTTGAAATCATTAACACTAAAAGTTTTATAAATTTTTTTAATAAAAATTATAAACGAGATTGCTAACTTGTTAATCATTATGTTTTCATAATTTCAGAAATCTAGAATTTACCTGGAACGGGCATTGAATTTGTTTCAATAAAAGAGCTTTGAATAGCTGGATGATCATTGCAAATATCCAATATCAAAAATATAGAGTACCCAACCAGAATGATTCCAAATAGTGCCGTTACAATAAGTCGTAACGAAAAGACAGACGTAGGTTCTGTCTTACGATTGTTTTGAAATATTTTTCCAAATGCCATTCTTATACAAGTCTTTCGCTTTCTTGTATAGACTATTATCAATTTATATTGCTGTTTATACTGCTGTTTATACTGCTGTTTATACTGCTGTTGGTGCGATACACTATTCTGACGATATATATTTATTAAAAAAGGTGAACCCTCATATTTGCATTAAAAACGTTAACGATGATCAATTAACACGATGCCGGTTTTATTGTGATATTATAGAACTTTTTATCTTTTTTCCTTATTAGGACAATCTCCTAGAAAGGAAGCAGCCAATCAGAGAATCAGAGTCTATCCAAAAAAATAAAAAAGCAAAGAAAATTCTACATATCAATGCAGAATGCAACACTTTATTTCTGCATCCTCCTAAACTAACTCCCTAATTATAGGCTTCTACGTATTTTTGCGTATTTAGTTTACTTTCGTTGCTAAATATCCTTTTTTGGGTTTGAAGTTAAGTAATACAGTTTATCAATTATCAATGTTGTATATATTACAAAAATATGTTTTATTGTTATCTTTGTTATACAATTATAGTATATATATACATATACGGGCTGAAAAAAACAATATTTACGTTGTATAAATTTATAATATATAATAAGAAAATACAGATTTCAAAGAGATATACTGCAAGATTTATTAATACGACTTAGTAAAAAATGATCTTATTTTGTATTGATTTATATAAAAAAAAAGTTTGTTGAAAAATTTGTCAATTTACTCCTCTTTGCAGCACCTAGCATATATGTACGTACGTAAGTAATGTGCGTACGTATGTACGTATGCAAATGCACGATGCAACTTAAACTGTAACGGCAATAGATACGAATTTAAATTTCATCATGCAGTATATGTAGTAATTGATCTAAATACGTTAATATGTTTTCTTTTGTAATGGCTCAGCTTTGTTATTAATTCGGATAAACAATAAATTTCGCCTTACAATCAAATTGAGAATTCTGCAAATTTAATAATGCAGAAATTTGTGATAAGTATTAATTGCAGTTTTGTATTCTACTTGTGCACAAAAAAAATATATTTCTGATAATGAATAAATGAATATTTCTTTTACGTATAAATTGTTTTTTAATACCGTAATAACGAAAAAATCAATTATAATTTTTATGCAAAAAAATGATTGAAGAATTATTTCAAAAATATCGCAAGACCGAACCAACATCATTATTTGTATTGAAAAATTTCGTGTTAATATTACTTTTAATCGCTTTATTGGGATACACTTGGTTAATAATTTGGGACATTCATGATGATAATCCTGTTATTCAAAATTCTTTAGAAGAAGCAAACAATATTCCTATTCCAGGTAACTTTAATCTCAATATTAAATAAAATGATGGATCAAGTCATTAAAATTTTTAATTTTGCAGTTGTTCTTGCTCATGCATTTCAAAAAACATATGTTAGTTGTCACTTCGTAAATGCTAGTAAGTATTAAATGTTGAAGTCTCAAATTCTTTGTTACGCTCTAAATTTAACTATATTTGCACGCTAGGTGGTATTCAGGATTGTAGTCAATATATAGAGTATTTTACGGATTTTAATGGAATGAATGTGAGTGCATTTTCAGCAAAGGATTTAATGTTTTCCGCGATACCAAATAATGGAATAAGCTCTCTGGAACTTAAGATTTATTTGAACGATGCTAGTTTTAATATCAGTGATAGATTTTCTCTACCATTTATTGTTTTAAATGTTATTGATACAGGTTAGTATGTAATTACTATCGTACAAATGAAATTTATTCGTTTCTAAAATGTTTAATTACTTGAGAGAAGCATTTTTTTATTCTTGGCACAAAATAATAATAATATTATCTATGCTTTAGCAGTATATAACGAAATATTTTTATTTCAATAGATTTCTTCTTGAATTACAACAGTATATTGAATCCATTAAATCAAGTTTCAACATATTCAAAGTTTCATCTCACAGTTGTGCACTTAAATCTATACAGTCTT